ACGTAGTCTTCCGGTTTGGACGTACCTACTGCACCACAAAGAGACGGTGGGCTAGAACAAAGATCCGTTTGTCTCCACTTTCGACAACTTACGCAGCTCCAACCTTTCCAGCCCAGAGAGGGAGCGATTTGGCGTTGTCTTGTAGCAGGGACATAAGCACACCACGTCGAAAACTGCGCGGACCTTTGGCTACCTCTAAGGCGTTTTAGGTAAAAAAAAAAAAGGAATGGAAGAGGTTACTTATTTTGTGTTCGATGGCCTTTATCTCCAAAATTTTTGACTGCGCAGCTAGCAGCGCTCTGAGAATAATGGCATAGCAGGTATAAAGAATAGTTACTCCTGCACATTTTCAGCATCTTTCAGAGCTAATTGCAGTTTCTGTTTCAGCTTCTTTCGCTGATCCATAGGAGCTGAAGCATTAAACGATTAAAAATAGTGTATTAGCATACTTTTGGACTTGGTAGGCTTCGAGTGCATAGCATTGATACAGCCCACTGACTCATCGCTCACTTTTTGTTCCGTCTAAAACTGGCGTTAATCGAAGGGCCCACGGAACATACGACCGCACGCTTGCACAGTTCGACCAGCTCGTTGACCCTGGCGACCAATTCGGACTCCATTGATATAACGGACATTGTGGCACGTTGTGATTTTATCCCAATACTATGAGTGGCAAGATAATAATTAGACGGTTACTGTATTTCATAGGAGTATAACAGGTGTTTATAAAATTTTTTGGAAAATAAATGTTCCCTCTTGAATAAACAAAAAGTCAGAAAGGTCGACGTTGACCAACACGCCCAGTGTACAGGTTTTTTGCTAAAAAAAGTCCGTTCGTAAAAGTTGAGTAGTAAACTTCTTGGTTGCATGATGAGATGGGTGATTTAACAACTTTACTAGTCTTACTTTTATTTAGAATCCACTATGGCTGATTTAGTCGGCGTAGGACGTCAGCTGCCGAGGAAAACAGCAGAAAACTTGAAAAGATAAGCCAGTGTCTGTTCTGGACTGTTTAGAAGCCTGTAGCAGAAACATATGCATGGGTTCAAGAGTGGGCATTGAAGATGCGCTTGTTAGGGGAGAAATAAAAAAAAACAGCTCCTGTTACTCCTAGCCGGGAAGACGGGTTGCCCGTTAGCCTAGCTGCTGGCTCTCCGGCGCGTCCACAGGTGGCGGATAGCGGGACGACTTTCAGTGAAGGTTAGCTGCGAAATAAGCAGACGCAGGTCTGACGAATAAGCAGTCGCAGACCAGCAGCGACACTGCTACCAGGGTGCGGTGGGCTGAGGTCTGGCACGCTGAAAGCCTTATAAAAAGCCGCAAAACCCAACGACGGCATTGTGATATGGCGACCGTAAACAGCCATTAAATAAGTTTACTTGCACCGCTGCCTTGTGGTTAGGCTTTTAAGCCAAAGCGCTAGAGGAGACAACCTCGAACAAACAATCCGAGCGGTTGCTGGGGATCCGCGCGTATTCGAAATTCCCAAGAAACCTCATGAAACATGTCGGATCACAGAACTACGACCAATGCTACGGCGTCCGCGGGAACCGACGCGCTCCGCAACCCTGGTCCAGTGGTGCGGGCGAATAGTATGCAAGCTGCACTTCTCAATCGTGGACGGACTCTCGGTATTGGATGCTGGAATTTGCAAACGTTCCTGGACCCTGGTACCGAAAGTCTGACCGAACGCAGCCTTTATCAGTACAACATGGATGTCTGCTGTCTGTCTTAGGTTCGATTCCCTGACTCAGGCTCCCGTGAAATAAAGATCACGGGAGTCGAATCACACTTCACCCTGTACCACAGCGGCCCGCGCGATGCTTATGGTCGATACAAGTGGTGACCGCCCTCTCGAAACAAACGGACCTCGCGCTACTTGCTTGGGAACCAGTCAATGACCGGATGGCTTACGTGCGACTGAAGGGTCACTTCACGAACATCCCCATCGTCGCTGTGTACGCACCAACTTCGGCTGCCGAACAGCGCGATAAAGAGGCGTTTTACTCTCAGTTGCAAGCGCTAGTTGAAAGACTACCTTGCCGAGATCTGCTGATTGTTGCTGGCGATTGGAATGGTCGAACTGGATCTGGCGACCCCAAAACCAGTCATCTTCTTGGCCGCTTTAGGCTTGGTTCCCGATGTGAAAATGGTGAGAGATTGCTGAACTTCGCTGATCGAAACCGACTGCTTGTCACCAACACATGTTTCCAGCATCGCAAAAAACATCTGCTGACCTGGTATTCAAACGCCGGTCGTACGGCCAGTCAGATTGACTACATACTAGTCAGCTCAAGGTTCCGCAGCTAGATTCACGATAGCAGATCGATGCGTGGTGCCGAGACTGGTCACGCCCATGGATCGGACCATGTCCTCGTCCGTACACGCCTGAAAGTTCATCTCTCATCCGCGCCAAAAATGCCACGTCCTAAACGCCTCGATGTCGCAAAAATCCGGCAAGCCAGCACTACCGAGGCCCTAAGCAGAGAAATCCGGACCTGTTTTACGACCCGAGCCGACGGAGAAGTCAGTAACCAGTGGTCGTCACTGAAGACATCAGTCTATGGGGCAGCTGAGAAAATCCTTGGATACACCCAGCGACCCCGCGGTGACTGGATCAGCGGAAGAACCCTGCAGTTGTCTGCTCAGACGGCTAGAGCCAGGTCCCGCAACGATGACTACTTCCGCCAACTTCGGAAGATGACGGCAAAATCGGCCAGGGATGACCGGAAGCAATATTGGGCTGAAATAGCGACCTCCATGGAACAGCCCTCGATAATTGGCGACACTCGAAAGCTCTACCATCTGATCCGCCAAGTTAGCGATAAGCCCTCTACACTGAGTGACTCTGTTCGCGATGTGAACGGCGGCATTATTGTTGACAACTCGGCCAAAGTTGAGCGCTGGCGTGAGCACTTTGAGCACCATCTAAACTTCGATACCCAACCTACCTCGTCCTTGCTCTCCTCCTCAGCGGAGTTTCTTCCCTCTCCTACCTATGCAGTGTCATGAGACCCCCCTCTGAAGGAGAAGTCGCCGATGTCATAAGAAAGTTGCGCAACAATAAGGCACTCGGAGAGGACGGTATGCCCGCTGAAATCTTTAAGTCTTGTGTTGGCACTCCGGCGCTCTGGCTCCAGTAGGTGATTGAACGAGCGTGGAGAGACGAGGTTGTTCCTGATGACTGGAGCTTAGGAATCCTTGTGCCTATCCTCAAGATTCGATTCCGTCCATCGTGAGACCCTGTGGCGGATAGTGGCGCTAGATGGTGGGCTGGCAAAAATCATGAACATGATCAAGGCCTATTATCGCTCAACTACTGCGAGAGTCCTGGTCTGCAACAATCTTTCCCAACAGTTCGGTATTCGGTCTAGCGTTCGACAGGGTTGTATCCTGTCGCCCATACTGTTCAACTACGCTACTGACTGGATCCTCGGAGGGCCGTACACGAGGGTGACGGCGTTGAGTTTACACCCGGACATCGACTGACTGATCTCGACTATGCCGATGATAACGCCTTACTTACTTCAAGTTTTGGTGATCTGCAGTCTATAGTGTCACGGGTGAACGAGGTCGCTAAATCGGTCGGTGTGTCCATAAAAGCTGAGAAGTGTTCTCAAGCTGCATCCCTGACCAGGAGAAGGCACCCCTCGGGATTTATGGCTGTCAACATGAAGAAGTGGACAGTTTTAAATACCTCGGGGCGCGGCTGCTGCCTAATGGACAGAGTAAGGACGACATTGTCTCCCGAATCGATGCTGCCCGCTGGGTTTTCTCAAGCCTTCGGAAATACCTACGGAACCGACGTGACCTCTCCATCGCCACCAAGATTCGCGTGTACCGTTCATCTGTCCGGTCTGTCCTCTACGGTTGTGAATGCTGGGCTTTGCGCGTGGCGGATGAGCGAAAACTGGAGGTATTTGACCACCACTGCTTGAGGACCATCCGTCGAGTGAAGTTCACCGACTTCATCTCAAATGAGACAGTCCGCGCTCGCTGCGACAACATCGCAGGGATAACTCAGGTCATCCAAGAAAGACTACTGAAGTGGTTCGGGTATGTTCTTCGTCGTCCACCTCAGGAGCTCAGTGTTACTGCCCTCGATCCGACACCGTTGCCCCATTGGAGGAGTCGAAGAGGGGTTCAGTTCCAAACCTGGCTCGACACAGTTCGTCAAGACATGGAGGTGGTTCATGGACCTTCGGTATTCGGTCTCCGTCGTTGGCGAAGGGAATGGGTTGAGCTGTCCAGATCTGCTGCCGCGGATAGTCACGTGTGGAGAGGTACAGTTCGGGACATCATCGAGGCCGGCTAGATCAGGCATGATCGCAGCCGTATCAAGTACAAGTACTCCTAGCCTCGGCTAGTGATCCCCCAGAAGACGATACCAATCCGAAAGTTCTACTCACAGCCAAGTTGATTTTAAGGAAGCTAGGTTTGGACAGAGGAATGAGGACCATATGGCGGGCCACGCAGTTGAGCCGAACCAACACGAGGGCCAGGGCGCGTTATTGGGGATGCGCACCCGTGACAAGTGCCACACATGAACCGTGTGGTGGCACGCCTAGGTGCAAGCGCACCCCACGCCACCGACCTGCGACCGATCCCACCTCAGGCTTTCTTGACACCGGACTGAGGTGGGTGAGGAGAAGGTGCGGTAGATCCATGGCAGGTCTACTTTCACTGTAAACTAATTCGCACGCCAACCACCGTCCTCGCGCACACCCTGCTGTAACGCACACGGTGGATATCGTCGTAACGCCGGTTAAACTGACTCAAATGTCGTCCGTCTGAGCCTTACAGTATGAAAGTTGACATCTGACATTTTAACGCCGTAAAAGACGATGGGCATTATTGCCTTAAGCACGCAATGGTGGCTCGTGCATTACTTGAATTATAATGAGAGCGAGACTTACACAGCCGACACTTCATTCGGCTTTCACACACACCCCCCGTCATGCTTCGATACAACGATGGGCACGCACGCAGTGGCTGACCTAACTACCTGACGTAGTTAATGGTGCATAAGCAGATGTAAGTGTTTGGAACTCTTTCTATTCCTAAAATGAGTCAGATGTCATTTTAGAAGTCAAATGATAATTCGTAACAGTGACAACTGGTGGCCGTGAGGGTAAGATCGAAAGCTTATTCGCTCAACGGGGGTATTTTGTTCCAAGCAGTTTAAAACTCCATTGTGTCATCTAGTTTAATACCTAGTTCCTATTTTTGTGCCCACGGAGAGATCCGTAAACAAGTCTCTTTGAATAAATTAAAGGAGGAAACTTCCAGCGACATGAAGAAAAGTTTGGGGCTTGCAGAGTCTCCAGTGCAGCCCACAGGCCGGAGGCCATGGAACCGGTGAAGCGCTTGAAGTCGGCTTTTAATAAGTTCACATACGGCGTCAGTTTTCCATTTGGACGCCGCCGACGGCCAACGTTGGTCCAGCCAGACCATTCAGTGAGTAAGGATGACACAGTTGACTGCCTGATCAACTATATTGTCTCCCGTTCAATACATCATAGCGAAATGGAGTGAAAGCGGCATAAGTCAAATACTTCCAGACGGTGATTATCAAAAAGCGCATGCCATATCCCATATTTGCAAAAAAATAATTGCCCTGAGAGATGCCACTTATGTTTAAGTGTTCGCTTTGTGAGCAGTATCACACGGAGCGCACAGGCTGTGGAAGTGGGCAAAGTATGCGCACATTCGATACAGTCAGTGGCCAGTCTCATGAAACATTGGCCGAAGTTTTGAAATGTGCTTTTGATTAGGAAGGATTCCTTGGGTGAGTTTGAAATATTATCATGTAACAAAGTCACAATATGGTTCGATCATGCCGAGATGCTGCCTTTGGAATGCATTTCTTTTCGGTCTTCTGCAAAAAAATGCATTCGCCAAAAACCACACTCAGGCAGTATGAAATTTTCGACTAATTTCAGATGCCCTCATAAATTAAAATGGATTTTATAGGGGAAAAAATAATCAAAAACATTCTTCCCTGTATTTAGATGGTGGAAAATCATGGTATCTTCAAATTCTATATGCGAAGAAATTGTATACTTCATTTCCTCAATTGCCGGAAAATTTTGAACTCGACCTGCTGTTTGCTAGAAAAACTGGCCCGAGGCAGCAGCAGTTGTTTATCGACCAAAGAGAGGGAATACAAAACGGCAAGATGTGGTTTGGTAGACCCCACCTGATGGACACAATGCTGTTGGAGTAGGAGTTCGGAGTGAGGGATTAGGGTAAGGGGTTAATGTTTGGGGGTTATGGTTAGGGGTGTAGGTCGGAGGTTAGGATTAGGGGTTAGCGCAACTACTTCTCAGCCATTCAAAGTACAACCGCGCATTCCCAATAGCTTTTCTTGCACATATAACTACTTGACCACGTCGCCTGTGCGTTCCCTGGTCCTACCTGTAAACACCCCTATTACCACCGGTCCCGTATTAGAGGTGGCTGGGGTTTGTTTACTTCAAGTGGGGCTACATAACCACATCCGAACTGCAAAACTTCATCAGAACAGAGACCGCTCGGTAGCCTAGCTGCTAGCTAACGGTGCATCCGCGTGTGACCGATAACCGGACGACATTCAGGCTGCTTTCAAGATAAGTAGACTTGCGTCTTCCCAGTGGGCAGTCGTGGACCAGTTGTGGTAATGTCAGCAGGATACGACGCCTAGGAGAACAACTACCGCAGAGTCCAAAGAAAACACTGCGGCACGGCAGGCACTAACTGGGTGCCGTTTATAAAACAAACTGAGGAATATGGAACTTTAGTTTCGGGTCCCTTATCAGGTCATGCTAGGCAACCCATAGCAACCGAGGAATCTGAAAATTTGCCAGTTTATAGAACAGAAAATATGTAAGTCGGTCTTATTAGCAAGAAAAAAGCCTGCGCCCGTAAGATGGGGTCATACGAATGTCCTGGCTACGGCAATGCAAGGCCTTGTCATGCATGCATGTTGCTGTACAATGTGAACATCGCCTGAAGTTACAAGGTGAGACCTGCACAGTGGGGAACAGTCACAGTGACTGCGAAGACAGTCCACGGTTTACGGAGACCGTTCAGACGATAGCGAAACAAAAGAACAAAAACCCAACAACGATTGCCTTAGATAGAGCATCTACACGTCTTTTTCGGCAGGACTTGTCTGTAAGTAACATCGGAAAATCTCTCTCCATGCCATGCAGACAGATGTAGACCAATAAAACTACCGTTCCAGTGATCGTGTCTTCTTTTAGACATGGACCCTCATTCTAACCCAGTTCGAAATAAATAATGGTGGCTTCTGTGGCAAGCCATCATGCAGCACGGGTGACTGGGGAAATTGCAATTGAAAGTCAAATGCAGAGACATGTTCCATGGAACTATCGACAAAACTGGCAGTGTTCGAGAGCCAACTAAAACAAGAAGCGCTGACCATCATATCATCATTTCGGATACCACAAATTCAGTGAGACATTTGGAAGACGAAACCTTTCCAACCTTAATTATTCGGTTTATCGTTATTGTGACAACCGGTGATATGAACTTTTAGCGAATGCCGTCGAATAATATGCCAAAATTGTGAATTCGTGAGTTTGGTCGAATGGGCCGTAAACCAAAATCATTTTTTCACTTCACTCTAGGTCTAAGAGTAGCCCAATGACGAAATGGCAATCCCCCTGATAGCATTCTATTCGCCCAGAGCTAGCCCGGTCGCCCGGTTGCGGGCTAGTGTAGCGAGTGAGTGCATGTTTTCCGCAAGCTTAGAGGACACTGTCCACATGGGGACAGTAAGTTGACGCGTCCTCACGGGTGAGTTGAGGGCGTTGTAGCCCAAGACGATTTAAGTCGCCAGACAGGCACCTAAATTCCAGACAAAGTGCATTTGTGCGTAAGCGCAAAGGGACCCCTCCGATGTGACATGCAAAAAGCACTCGGGTGAGCGTCAAGGAAGGGATTTAGCAGAAAAGCTCCTCTCCTCCTCGCACAGATCGAGCGCTGTCAGGCAATTAGGTTGCTAGCCC